CCAGCCATTTGGGGTGTTTTCAGAACTTGCAAATTAAACATGAAGGTGTTTTGTATGCTCCAGGGCATCTCTCTCTCTCTTTCCCCCCACACACTCTCTGTATGCGCAATAGATCTACTGGCTCTGCTTGGAGAATGCTGATAAAGGAATTACCGTACTGGAATCTACCTTCCTTTCTGACAGGTGTGGCTTTTTCTTGCTGCTGATCTCGAAAATATAAAGTGCAGTTGCATGCATTCCTACTTGGAAGTATATCCATAGGCCTGACTACCAGGGAAGTGTGCACAGCATGGGCAGTTGATGCAGTGCCCTTCAGATATGGTTCGACACTGGGCTAAACAGCCATTCCTCAAGAGATATACAGTAAAAGCAGAGCATGGTGGACGTATAAAAGCACAGTCTTAAGACATTTTGCTGCCTGCAGCAAAAGAAAAGAGGGCATTCTGAGTTAAACGAAGCTTTATCAATTTAATTTCTACTATATAAATGACACAAATCCTGTTAGGTCTCTTAAAATGGCAGTGCCTTAATGTTTGGAAGTGTAACATATTAAATGAAGGTGCAATGATGAATATATTTTACACACACACACACACACACTCATATATATATGTGTGTATACAGTTCTTAGATTTCCCAGACTGTGCGGACAGCCCTTAACAGGGCGACCTTTTGCAAAACTCAGACCGAAGCCTTGTGTCCCTGACAACCTCTTTGCTCCATTCCAGGATTTGTTTCATGACACGATGATTGACATTTGTTCCTCCCTCCCTTTCTCAGTCCATACCACGCAAAATGGAGTGAAACCAATACTAAGCAGTTACTTAGCAGGAGTGTCTTCAGCTGTGGAAGCATCTGAGATCTTAACTGACAGGCTAGCATAATGAGGGAGTGTGAGGCAAAAAGAAGCTGCGCCCATTGCAGGCGGCATTTGGAAACCTCTGAAGGTAGGTGTGTGTTTGCTGCTGCGAGTCAAACCCTGCCAGCTAAGGGGGCGACAGACCTTGCTGCAGAATTTTGAGCAGCTCTGCAAGAATGGCAGTTCTGATATTGAGCTGCTTCAACACTGGTGGCCCATTGGTAATTGTCCATTTCACATGATACGGGGAAAGATGAAGAGGACACATTGACCATGTATTCCAAGTTTAAAGATATGCAGGTGCAGTCCACTGGTGCTGAGAAACACCCATTTTACAACTTGATTTTAAGATTGTTTTATGCTACTTTCCTGGGGTCTCCAGCTATCCTCAAGCACAGTACAGTGGTACCTCGGGTTACGAACACTTCGGGTTACAGACTCCGCTATGCCGGAAGTTGTACCTCGGGTTAAGAACTTTACCTCAGGATGAGAACAGAAATCACACAGTGGCGGCGCAATGGCGGCAGAGGGAGGCCCCATTAGATAAAGTGGTACCTCAGGTTAAGAACGGTTTCAGGTTAAGAACAGACCTCCGGAACGAATTAACTTCGTAGCCAGAGGTACCACCTTTTTCCTTTGGTTATATCCTTTTTCCTTTGGTTAAAAGATAAGGCTGTAACCCCCTTTGCTATCTGGTCAATGCAAATGCCCCCTGTTCTCCTTCCTCAAAAGAAAAAATTAGACAGCCTTCCCTCACCTGGTACCTTCCCAGTGTTATTAGACTACAACTCCCATTAACCAGAAGCCTGTATGGCCCATGGTTAGGAACGATGGGTCCTGTAGTCCAAAGCATCTGGAAGGTGTCTGGTTGGGAAAGGCGAAACCAGGGCAAGAGGGGCCATCACCTGCAAGGCGCTGGAGAGTGCCTTCACTTGAAGATAAAAAAATAGTTTGGCCAAGTAGCTTTCATTTTGTTAAGAGATTATTCCACAAAGCAGGGCTCTCCTGGAAGGAGGGAGCCTTTGGGGAATCGGGACATAGGTGATTCAAGTCTTTTGTGATGAAGGCTTTGCAGGGTTAGCTTTTGAAAGAAAACAGGTGGAAGGTCAGAGAGCTATCGCTGTCCTGATCCTAGCTGGAGACAATATATGCAAGAACAGAGGAATCTTGGGGCTGGTGTTCTGCTTTTGCTTGGTGACACTCACATGCCGAAACAGGCTCCTTGGCTGCTGCTGAAAGGAAGCACAGCCGGTAGGTCAGCCAGGCAGGGCCACCGCCACACGTGCTGATTTGCATGCCCATTATTTATGGCTGTAGCAAATGCATTCTGGAGAGGCATCTTGTGAAACCAGCACACAGGCCAGTGGAGGTTTCACCCCTTCCAACACGCTTAAGTATTTTGCCTCCAAGGCAGAAACTGCTTCAGACTGTGAGCGGCCATTAATTGGTTCTTTTCATAACAGCGAGAAAACAACTGTCCTCTCCTACAGGCAAAACTTCCTATTCCTTCTTCAGCATTTCTATATAGGCCTTTTGTCGCCTTGGTAAAGCTGTCCCATGGATTTAAAACTATGACTGCTTCTTATGACACTTATGACACCAGCCAATCTACTTTACAATGGCCACCCATCTCTCTTTGTTCTTATTTTATGGGTGAGGGTTACCCAAGACTACCCCATGGGTCTACTCAGACCCAAATCCCTCCCACCAGAATATGCAACTGTATGGCATGCTGACTATGGAGGTTAAAACAGTTAAAACCGACGACACCAGGAAATAAGATACCAGGCTGGTTTCTAAACACAGTATTTTTCTGGGAAACTACCTGGTATCTTGTTTGAGAAAACAGTACTCTTGATTTCAAGCTCTTTCCAGATAAGTCTCCTTTCATAGCTGCACAATGGCAAGAAAGTTTAATTCTATTTCCTGATCGTAAAGGCGAGATATTCTCTCTTTCAATGTATACAGCAGGTTAGCCTGTACAATTGTCTCGTATGCAAACCATACATCTAAAGCACATGGTTTCCACCAAAGAATCTTGGTAGAAGTTCTGTACTCCTCACAGAGCTGCAATTCCCACCTTTCTTAACAAACTACAGTTCCCAGGATTATTTGGGGGGGGATACGCCACATGCTTTAAATTGCACTGCATAGATGTGATTTGCTCTGGAGTAAGATGGAAGAAATTGAACTGAATCAGAATTTTAGTTTCAAATTTAAAAGCTGACTAGTTTCCCCAGGAAAAGTATATTCAAAACATGGTGGGAAATGTAGAACTCTGCTTATCAAATAATTTTCTCTTGCACCTATCAATTTTGTCTTTCTTACTGCAAAAGCAGGTCCAGTCATTTCTCTTTGTGGCCTCCCATATATCAGAAAGAACTCTATCCACATAGAGTGAGGTAACAAAATGTAGTGTAAATATATTTTGCTACCCCATATTTAAGAGAGCACATTCTTAAGTGCTAGTATGGTAACTGAAATTTCGCTTTCCCTGTCTATAGAAGTCAACTGTGTGTGTTATCACACCACACCAACCTTTTACAAGTATTGTACCTGAATGTGTTTTTGGGTTGTATTCTAATTGTTCAAGGCATATGCTTGGCACATGCACACTAAAGCAAAGGAAACTAGCTATGAAAGTTAGAGTATCGGAAATTTAGTTCCGTTTTGATTTTTTTTTGCACGTTGTTAACTTCCACATACTTTCTATAACATGCAAGCTTTGGACTTACAGGTTTTCCCAGTGAGACGTCTGAGTGAATGCCCTACTATGGCACACTTCTTTATGCATGTGCAGTGACCTAGGGAAAATGGAAGATCAACCTTGCTCGCTGGTGTCCTGAAACACTGCAGGTGTTTTTGGGTTCTTCCCAAATTGAGCAATTACGATCTGCCTACTTGAGTATCCCCTGAAGTTTCAGCAGAAAGGTTTGCTTCCTTCCACAGAAATGTTGTGCAACCTTGCGGTGTGTTAATCAAGAATGTAGGTTATTCCACCCCCCAGGAGATGCTGCAATTCTGCGTGGTGGGTAAACTGATCGCAGAATACCGCCATCTGAATATCTTGTGCTCATCTCCTAGGGATGCTTAAATGTCTGGTGCATCTTTTGCCTTGGAACGTGGATCAGAGGACTGCTTGGTTTATCTCATTCTCAACAATTCCCTGATTCTGGGGTTCTTATGCTAAGCTATAGAAGCAGCCCAAACTGCTGGTTTTCTAAGTGGAAACTTGCTGCCAGCCCACTCTGACACTCCTGAAGATAAAGACTAAGGATATCACCAGGATTGTGATTTAGTTGGCATCCCGGTTTCAGAACAATATCCAACTGGCTCAAACTTCTCAAGAGAAACAGTATCACAGACAAAGGACTCAGCTACATTAGTAAAAAACCAACATTTTGAATTCGTTATAAACATGCAAGATGGCCCCAGAGAGCAAAAACAAACAAACAACGAAGCGATTTTTACATAGCTTTTTTTCTCGTTTGTTATAACGATTCAATTTCTGACTTATTTATAGCATCCCCCCCCCGCCGCCCCCCGTGTGTAGATCCACCCAAAGCAGACTTTGGGTATTATCAGCTGGAAAGTCGGAAAAATGATGCAACCAATCCCAATGGAAGAGAGGCTCTATGATGTAATATAGGAGGGAGAAGAGGGTTGTGGAAAAGGTTCCTATGACGAGAAAAGAAAAGCCAGGCTGAGATCATCAAAGGATTCTGCAGCAAGATTTCAAAAACTTTTAAAGTCAACAAACCAAAGTCAATCAATGTGAGACTTAGCAGGCCAGATTTTAAATCCACAAACTCTGGAGATTCATAGCTCTCTGTTCCACCCATTTTGAGACGATGCACGGCTGACCTACCAGCCTAACGTAGGGTTTTGTGGATATATGTTACCGCTGCATTAAAGAGCTCCATTTGTTAAGCTTGGCAATTCGTTTCCATTGGGGTGTAAGGACAGGTCAGCATGGCAAGAAGAGCCCAGGAGAAAGCCATCGAGAGAAGCCAGGAAGCGATGTCAATAGTACTACAGAAGCCACAAAAGGAACAGCTCAGCTCAAGGTTTTTTTCCTCTCATGCCCAGACTAGGCAAACCTGTTTGGAGAGAATCGTAGGGATGTCAGAAGTTGGCAGCTATTCAGACTGCCTCACCTTGTGGGATACTCAAGAGAGGAAGAAAAGCTGCTGGATCTTGGAAAGACATCTTGCCATTGCCACTCCCACCAACACCAAAGTGGCTCTACAAATAAAGGGAGGCGGCAAAAACCATGGTGTACAGAGGACAGTAATGAAACCAGACATTCAGAACCAAAATGTCAAGTATTTATAAGAGGAATGTGCTGCTACAAACATAACCATAAGTCACAATAAATTTATACCCCCTCCCCCAATGGATTCTGGAGGCACATCAACTGTTCTAACCACTACAGGGCAAACATAAAATCAGTCCACATAGGCAAAAAGGTATTAGGAGCACACCCTTATCACTATTCTAGGTTTGGCATCTACTGGTTCAACTTACTTTATTTTAAAATGTATTTATTTAAAATCTGCTATACACTGAATTCTCTTGCAGTCTGATAACTGAGTTCACAAGGAGAGTGGTTGCTGGTTCACATTTCTTTTAGTACCCAGCTTTTATTTATGGCACCAATGGTTTATAAATCCAAGCTTATATCAAAGATTTATCGGACCCCAAAGAATCCTGGGAACTGTAGTTTGTTGAGGCTTATGAGATTTGTTAGGACCCCCCCCCCCGTCTGTCAAAACAAGGGGCTCTGTGCAGTTAAAAACAGGGCAGGTGAAAAAGAAACACCTAATCCAGCATGGTTATGTTCTTCAGCTAAATAGGCCTCATTGCTTTTCATTACACTAGTGTCTCATCCAAACTAGTATTTTCACAGCCCAGTGGAGCTGAAGCACTTGGATGAAAACCAGTTTATTCCAAACGTCTAATAAAGCTGAGATGAGCTTCAGCCTTTTCATTTGAGCATGAAGGGGTTGTGGATTTGCAGTCTGGAGGACCCTTAACATGGGTTCACTTCACAGAGCATATAACTCCCAATATCATTCCAACTTCACCGGTTTCCACTTTGCTTCAGGCTCCTGCTGTGGACCTTCAAAAGCACTAAATCAGGAGTGGGGGTGTATTTGATTCTATGTATTTTTAAATTTCATTCCATGCTACTCAGAAGAAGAAGAAGAAAACAACTTCACCATGTGCTAGACCTTCAGGGAGCAGAGTGTTTTTCTCACAGTATTATCTCTTCGTTAGTCTGGTGCGATGGAAGCCACAAACAAAATGGAGTCACCTCCTTGGCATTCCACCTGTTTCCATCTGACTGGTTCAAAGGAGCACTGAGGTAGAACTCAGGCACTCAGCCCACGTTTCCGGACGCCTCGCTACATTTCCTGTGTGACTTGGTTTCCTTATTCACAAAAACGAGAAAATCGAGGTATGTTGACGATTAATTGGTGCGTCTAGCAACAGTTGGTTCCACAGTCATGGGACTAGTGTTGTCACCATGGCATGAGCTGCTACTGGCTTATGAGATCTCCATTCACTCTAAGGGTGTGAGGGATATGCACCAAACCCGATATGCTCACAATAAAAGACCCAAATTCTAGGTGTTGCTCTTGTAATGCAGGGATGAGGAACTCTGTGGTGCCCCGCTTGCTGTCGGGCGACACGTCCCTCATACTTGACCACTGGCCATATTGGCTGGGGCTGCTGGGAGCTGGAATCCAACAACAACTGGAGGGCCACGATTTAGCCATCCCTCCCCGACTGTTTTGTCAGGGGGGAGGACAGGTCTGTAGTGATCTTGCTCCCAATCCCACCTTTATTTAGCAGTTCAGTAGGAAGGCGTGAAAAGAAGCTCTGCAATGATCCTTCCTGGCTTGAAATCAAGAGAAGTTTTAGAGGAAGGAAGCAGAATAATGTGAGTCAAGGAGAAGATGGAGCTTGGACCAAATCACTCCACCCTACATTGTTTTCAACCTGGGATGGGTTTCAGTATAGAATGGGGTTTAGTTTTTTTAGGGGAGGGGCTGAGGAAACTGGTGATTAAGCAAAAGTGAATGCTTGTTGCATGGCACAAATCGGCTAGGGGCCTTGCATATTTTGCAGCAAGGAAAGGAAATCTCGGGCCTAGGAGACTGAGTGAAGCCCTCCAGGCCTCTTGAGGCGGCCCATTGACTCTTCCCACACCCTGTCCTTTGCTTGGCTGGAATGTGACAATGTACTAGCATTGCCCTAGTAGGATTCGTTGCGCTGGCTTCTTCTAGCGCAAAAGCTTCATTGAATCTGGCCCTAAGCATTTAAACAATAAAGGAAATCTGGTCTGGCTTTGGGTGAGTACAGTTGATCTTTTTCAGAGTGTAAAATTTTAGCATCTGTAAGATTAATTCTGTGGGTTATTTTATATGTGCGACTTCAAAACTGTAATAGGTGACGGTGTTGTATACTATATCCCCTGCCCCCAAGGTTTATGACAGGACATAGTATGCCACTTAAAGTGTTGCAACATCCTTGCTTCTGATGCTTATTCTGCTAGCCCTAGGGAGGGACAAAAGGCTGGGCACTAATACCCATCCCTAACTCATATTGTGGTTTCTGAGATTTACCCTCTTTTAAGCTTTCCATGGCAGTCTTAAGAGCTAGAAACCTGGGATTATGTATCCTTTTTCTGTGATGAAACTGAGGAATCCTGATCTGCACAAATATTTCATTTGGGCGAGGGGGCAGCTGTGGAATCATGAAAGAAAAAATGCATGCTTGAATCACCAGTTAAAACTGCAACTATGCAGCAAATAATATTTTCTTTTCTTTGTGGGCTATGCTAAATAAAAGTTGTGGCAGTAGGGGGTGGTGGGGGAAAATGGTTTAAAAAGTGGTGGTACCAGTTTGGAGTTTTACATAAATATGAGCGTTCCCAATTTTCAAATGAAGTGATAAAATCCATTGCAGATTATTGCCATGTGTATATTTGTCACCTCATCACTTTGATCGCATTTTGCAACTACCTGTATCACGCGTCTCTTTTAGAAGTAGTGTTGAGAGTCAAACCATTGCATTAGAATAAAAAAGACCTCATTTTATTTCTTCATAAACATGGGATCTACTTCATTGCCCAGGAAATGATTTTATCGCTCCAGAGCTTTGGAAGACCTGTGCTAGACCTGTATGGCTGCATTTTTACCATTTGGTTTTATTCTTGTTATTTTGCGGTTGATTGTGGTTTGTGAACTGCTTTGGTGTTTCTTCTTGAAAGGAAAGGCGGTATATAAATACATAATAATGAAAATAATGGGATCAGCGTTTGGCATCTCAAAACACCCATGGCTCCTTCATGTAATCTGGAAAGGAGCACTCTGATAGCTGGTCCTTTAACCTGGTCATCATTTCATATCCCCGGCACAGAGTTCCTATGTACCGTAATTCTCATCTTGGGTAGGCAAGGGGAGCCCATAATCTGATAGAACTGCAAGGATTTAAAACTGCGTCCCCCTGCTCCATATTTTTATTGAGTCTCCAGCATGTCTCTGCAGCCGGGAGACCAGATTTGGAAATTAAGAGGCAATCTGGCACCTATGATACCTATGACAGGTATGCTTGGTATGATGACTCTGGGAGTTGACTTGCCAAATGTCACAAGGCTGAAACGTGGATACTGGCAGTCTCCTCCCTTCTCACAGATACTTACAGCTGGAAAATTATGGGCCAAAGCCAACAGAAGTCAACTGGATGCTGGAGACCAGCTTACGAGAGAGTTAGCAAAACATGTGAAGGAAGGGAAGAGAAACTGGTACAATCTTATAGATCCCTCCTGCTAATTCTTTCAGGAGCAGGTGTGGGTTCTGGACATCTACCTGCTTTGGCCACTGAGACGCGACAGCAGAGAAGCTCAGCACCCTATTAAACCTTATTAAGCTGAATGGGAGTTACTCCCAACTATAAGTATACATGGATTGCAGCCTCAAGCACCTAAGATTGCCTGCTATGGGTAGCGCAGATCCATAAACGCCGCCTTACCTATCCGCCACACAGGAATGCAAGGGAGAACCAGCCACAGAACAAACAATGTGGAGCTGATGGGGATGGAGAGATGCCAGTTTTGTGCCTAAGAGCCTTTCAAGGAAACACAAATGCCTGAACCACTAATAGACTCTTGGCATCCCAGCTAGAGTCACTGCATGTGCTCACCCTAGTCATTTTGGTGTCTCCTCCCTGTGACTCAGCCCTTGCTGATATCTAGCAACAGAGAGTGCTTCTAAGTTAATTACACCCATTGCAACTGGAAGTATTTGCACCAAGCTGGAGACTCTGGAAGAGTTCTTTCGGTCATGCAGAAGTGCCTGTGGTAAATCAAGCCACTCCCCTCCTCATTTGTTCCCAGGTCTACCTTCACGTGGCCATAGGGGTTTGGGCAACACACAGACCAAACATAGCTCATCAATGGACAATATACTTTAGTCCACGCTAGCAGATGAGTTAAAGTCTAACTGCTAAACCATATGCAAAGTTGGATAGAAGTTATGGCCCCACATCTTTCCCAAGCCCATAGTGTGGTCACTGGACATGCAGCTTAAGGTGCAATCTTGTGCCATCCTGTCCTTTCTAATCTTTTTAAAGGATCATAGGGCTTCTCCATACATCCTTTTCATTGTGCTTGTGTTTGCGATAGTATTGGGGTAGAATCATAGCATTGCAGATGTTTTGTTATGTTTTTATATGTCCTGGAAGCTGCCCAGAGTGGCTGGGGAAACCCAGCAAGGTGGGTGGGGTATAACAACAACAACAACAACAACAACAACAACAACAACAACAACAGTTGTTGTTGTTGGAAGTGACCCCAAGGGTCATCTAGTCCAACCCCCTGCAATGCAGGAATCTCAGCTATAGCATCCGTGACAGATGGCGTAGGTATATGCGATCTTGCTTTCAGTCCTATTTGTGCCTGCAAATGTTTCGGGGCAGGCATACTGCCTCATTTTGTGTCTGCTGAAATCCTGTAATTTTTCATACCACAAGTATTCTGGCTTATTTATTTATTTTGTCCCATTTTTATTGTGCTATATAGTGGTACCTTGGTTCTCAAATGCCTTGGTACTCAAACCCAAACAGTGCTAACCCAGAGGTAAGTGTTCCGGTTTGCGAACTTTTTCCGGAAGCTGAACATACTCCGTTTTGAGTGTTAACGCTTCTGATTTGAGTGCCACACTTCCGCTTTGAGCATTACGCTGAGGTCTGTCTGTTTTTGCTATTTATTTTACGTTTTTGTGACTTTTTTGTTTTGTTTTGTTTTGTTTTGGTGACTGTGTGGAACTCAGTTCAGCTATTGATTGATTGATTGATTGATTGTGTGACTGCAGTACGTTGTTTATTGCTTTCATTTTATGGATCAACGGACTCATTAGAGAGTAAAATTCATGTTAAATTGCTGTTCTGGAGGTTGTTTTTAAAAGTCTGGAATGGATTAATTTGTTTTGCATTACTTTCTATGGGAAAGCATGCCTTGGTTTGGGAATGCTTTGGTTTTGGAACGGACTTCCGGAACGGATTAAGTTTGAGAACCAAGGTACCACTGTAGTGCAAAAGTGCCTGTCCGGATGGCTATAAAGCAGTAACACAGAGGAAGCATAGCAGAGCAGCTAATAAAACAGAACAATGTGCGGATGGTCCAGAGTAAATCCACCACTAATGCACAATTATTGCATCAGTGGCGTGTCACAGAAGACACCAGCAAAAAAGGCAAACACATACAAGGCAGGAGGGGCCCTGAGACTGGCTGGCTGAGATGGGGAGATAATGTTTAACGGTGAGGAAGCCAAGGTTGCAATTTTATGCATGCTTGCTTGGGTCAGTATCAGCCTCACTGCAGAAATTAACAGGTAATAAACATTGAGTAAATGGAATAAAGTGCTGCCAGTAGGCAGCGTAAGATTTATCTGCAAGGCTGTTGTCCTGAAAACATTAGTGTGCAATTTACTTCTACTGAAGCTAGTTATTTCGGATCACAAATAATTAACTGGAAGACATAGCCATCAAGGAGACTTATAACCCACTTCCTTTCTGCAAAATTGGGACCCACAAGGAAATTAAACAGGACATCTGGCATTTAAGACATCTTATGGGAAAGGTGTTGCCCTAAAAGTTTTATGAATCTTGCTGCGAGGCTCCGAAGCTGCTTACTTAGAGTGTAAGGTGACATTTGAACTTTTCACTCCCAAGCAACAATGCTTCACACACCCACCCCTGCCCCATTTCTTCTTTTCTTGGGAAAAATAGTTGTGGTCACCATTCTGCTTTTATGCCTCCATGTTTTACTAACTAATAAAAATTTTAGTCTCTCTCTCTCTCTCTCCCTGTGGTATTTATTGCACTCTTAGTTATCTACCTAAATGGCTTCAAAGCTGTCTGCTTTGCAAGACAAATAAGAAAGGAAGGATAAAA